CTTTTTGTCTCCTGGGCAATCATTCAGTAACGATTCCTCCCCATCAGCCTCTGTCCATCTGACCCTCTTCCTCTTTGGCTTTTTTGATTTTTAAACATATTTATAATTTTTAAAAACAAGATCACATGGTACCCAGCTACCATTACCAAACATTCTGATCACAGATTTTATAGAAGAATCCTGATCAAAAGGAGAAAAATGTGGGAATTTCAAATTTTTATGGAATCCAGACTTCTAGAGTCATTGAGGCTGGATGAATCCCCGAAACTATTGCCCTGAGATAATCTTTAAACGTTAAACTTCAAGCCAAAAATATCCCTTGAAGTCTTCTTTAAACCGAACAATAGTTTAGCTTAGTTAGTAAAGAATGTCAGCCTTCAAACTGACAGCAGCAACTGGAAAGGTTAGATAGGAAGCTTTAGGGGCTAGGACTTTATGTTAATGAGGAGGAATAATTTGGAACAGGAGGGTGAGAATGGCCGCACAACTTGAAGGATATAATCAGTGTCACTAAATTGTCCATGTAGAAACTGTTGAATCAGTCCATGTTCTACTGTGCATATTTTCAACTACAAAAATAGTATCAAAAAAAGATCACAAAGAAAAATGTTAAAAGAAAAAACAGTTCCACCACTCTAAGAATTACTTTCACTTCTTCATATGCCCTTTCAATCCACAGCTTTGTAGTAACTCTTGTCTGGTAGAGCAAGTTTCCATATGTCATTCTTCAAAATGGTCTTGGTTATTCTTGATCCTTTGATATTTCATACAAATCTTAGAAGCAGTCTGAAAATTTTACCAAAAACTCTGTGATTTTGATTGGCATTACATGCAATTTACACAATAATTTGGGAAGAAATGACATCTTTATGCTGTTGAGACTGTGCATCTATGAACATAATATTTATCTCCATTTACTGAGGTCACCTTTTATGCCCTTCAGTTTTGGTTTGTAATTTTTCTCCTTAAAGCTCATGTCTATATTTTGTTCAATTTTTTCACATATAGCCTATAGTTTTGTTAGTGTTATAATTAATTTATCTTCTTTTTCTATTATGGCTTCAAATTTGTTTTTTTCTATTGTATAGGGATGTTACTAACTTGTGTATGTTAGCTTTATATCCACAGACTTGCTCAACTCTTGTACAGGTGCTAATGGTATCTCTAGAGGTTCTCCTCACTTCCTATGTAGTCAATCAGGTTATCATCAAATAAAGATGTTTCCAACTCTCCTGCTGGTTTGTCTTAGTGCTCTGATTAGGACAGGAGCACCTGTACAATACCAAGCAATAGGTAGCATCTGCTTCTCACTACCTAACCTGCTCGGCCTCTTCCCTGCTCTGCTG